TAGAAAAATTTGCACTGACAACTTCAATACTATCTTCATGAAGCAAGTGTAGTATCTTGTAAAACTTTGATAAATCATCAAGCCCAACAACAAAAATGACATCCATATTTGGTCCCATATCATGAATTTCTACTAAAGGCGGTGAAGACTTTGTGTTGGCTTGAATTTCACTTGTAATGCAAGAATGTGATCTTTTCCTTTGCAACAAGTATTTCTTCTTCTCCTTCATCTCCTCCACCTTCATCTTTAAACTTTCGATGTATGTCACAACTTCATTTATTTGATCAAGCAATGACATGGCTTTCTGCATTTGCACGCACACAAAAAGTCATTATGCATATTCAGTTATGTCTCGACGTGAGTTTACCTGCAGCTTTCCTTGGACGCAAGATTTGTTTAGGGCTGTTGTGGGTGTGTGTTTTTGTGAGTGAGTGAGATTGAGAGAAACCTTGGAGCCATGATTTGGGAGGAGACAGTGGAGGTTCGTGTAGAGAATCTTCATCCGATCTCTCCTGCTCTTCTCCGCAATTTTCCTTTCAATTTTTGGAACTCGACCAGAAGAACATAATGCAGACTTACCCTTATCCATTTTCTTCACTTGCACTCTGAAATTTTCACTTAAACAAGCAATAAAAAATTCTCTTTCCAACATTCTTGTTCTGCGTTGGGATTCATATATATAAGAAAAGGATTTTGGCTGGGTGCCGGCATGGACGGCCAGGGTCCACACATGAAAGGTGGGGCCAGCGATCACAGGACCCACATTATGTAAGAGAGTTATACATTTTACAGCATTTAAAAGTTGTACAAATAACTTTTTTGAAATAAGAAAGAGAAATGCAACAGGAACATGCTCAAGTCCGGAGAGGACATGCTTCCGTGTTGGATTGGAAGACTTATCAAATACAACAGTTATCTACGTCTACTGCAAGTTGGAATATGGAATAATTTATTGTTCACACACGATTTAGTTAAGTTGAGTGTACCTATAGACGGGTAGTATGAAATACGGTAAATCCATGTGCAGTAGTTGAAGATTGTTTAAAAGAATCACAATGACTTATGATTACTTCACTTTATACAAGTTTTTCAAATGAGAGGGAAAAACATATTCTTATAATCTACAAACAACTTTGTTCTTTATATGCGATATCAAATAGTGATTAGGTAGAATATCGGTTATTGTATAATTGTCAAAAAAATTAATTTCCATCCATTTAGGAGATATTACATGATAAAATTGGATTTTTATTATAATTCATTTGACTCTTATAGACATTCATTTAAGAATAAAATGACTTGAGTCTAAGTTCCCATTTAGGATGTGGAGGTTCCATCATTTTCCTCCCCTTTCCATGCGTAGTAAAATCAATTAAAAGGAGTGCCCTGGGCACATCCAAGATGGCAAAAACAGTGCAAGGCTGGGCTTTCAACCCCAGTGTGGCCTCAAGCTTAGTGTCTGTGAGCAGCCAAGTGTTGTAATCCCCAAACCATGTGGTGGAGCAGTTTGGTGTTGTAAAAGCCGGCGCAGGATGGCTCCCTTGGGGCTAGGAGTATAAAGCTTGCACGGACACTGGCTTGATTGAGCATAACCCGCGATTTACCTCCACCCAGAGTTGAAGCACCGGTTCTGAGTGGTCCAGAATATAGTTTGGTGTAAGCTGAGATACTTGTGTATAAAAAAAAAAAAATCAATTATAAGGAATGTAAAAGATTTATGTCACCTCAATTGGATAAATAAATAGTTAAATTGCAAAAAAATATATATTAATATTTCAGTATTATTTAAATGTAATAAAAAAATTAATACTTAATATTATCAAAATGTTAAATATTTAACAGTAAATTCTATAACGTGTTACTCGGGTACGCTTTGTGGGCGAAGACCCGCAGCATTACTTGTTTTTTAGATGAAACATATTTCATTGAACAACGCATCATTACTTGTTTTTGATATCACGTAGTGATTGCAATTGGCTTGACATCAAAAGTTACATAGCACTTAGGTGGAAAAAAAAGGTGGTCCAAGGAATAAATGCCGCGTAAAATGTGCCCGTCAAATTCATGCTAAACGAAAGGTACACTGATGGAGAGATTACAATGGTACTCCCTATATTATTTTATGCTCTTAGTATACGTGGTTGGGGTGCGCTGTAGAGTCAATAATATCGTCTTGATATTTTTTCAATAAGACAATAGTGAGAGGTGCTTCAATCGTATCAATTAATACATGAATCAATGATCAATTATCATTTCTTGCCAATTCTTGCACTAGGTTGAAAACCAACAATCCTGAATTAATAAATAGCCTCTCTCGATGTCACTCAATTCTATACTTATATATAGAATTAGTTATATCTTATTAAATTGCGAATATATAAGCATGCATTCAATTACAAAAAATATTACATAGTATTTCACAAGACATAATGATATCTAATTATTATCGGATGTTATATTGTTCATTACCGTGCAAATTTATATCGAATCTCTCAAAAGAAATATAAGTCGCAAACTTCTAATTGTGATCAAGCATCAAAAGGAATTAGGAGAATATTAAGCCCCTGTTTGACACCAATTTTTGAGAAAAAAATAAATTCTGAAATAGTGATTGATGGAAGAATGTGTGGTTAAAAAGTAATGATAATTTTTGGGTTTGTGTAGTATTATTTTATTGATAGAATGTGTGGTTGAAATAAAAAAAGAGAAAAAAAATGAGAAAAAATGAGGGTCAAATATGGGCTAAATAAACAATCCCTAAAGGAAGAATTATACCGAAATTGCTCAACATTAAATTAATTCAAAATCCAAGGTTTCATCGTTAATCCAAGCTAAAATAGGTGTAGTCGGACATGATTGGATTAAAAAAAAAAATGAATCTGAAAATTTTAGACGAAAGATAGGTACAACCCTCAATGATGAATTTCTTCAAAATATTGGAATCGCACGTCTTCACCACAAAGAATCATCCTGAGTCGATGGAGAAATTTGCCTTGATCTCTGTTTGTCTACATTGCGTGTTTTCTTTTTTACCCTAAATATGTTCCTTCAATTCTGGTCTCCTGCGCGCCGCGCGCAGGGCTATCCTGCGCGCAGGAGACCGATTTTCCTTTGTGTGTCAGCCAAGGCTGACACACAAAACCTTTTTTTAATTTTTTTTTTCATATTTTTATTCCACTTTTTTTTGTCTCAATTTTGCGAGATTATTACGGTAAGTCAAATGAAGTCGAAATATTACATTCTTAATACCATTTCAAAGTTCTCACAACCTAGTTTCTCCCCTCACTAACGGTGTGCGAAA